CTGTGATATCTTTAGGATTGACAAAAGGCGGCAAGCGAGCTGGTGCCGCTGAGAGCATCACGGTGACCGTGACACCTGTCCTTGCCTGGCTTTGGGCTTGGAAGAAGACTTCAAGCTCGCACAGCCCGCTAACCCCTCCTCGACATCAGTGGCGATCCAGGTTCAGTGAGTGCCTCTCCGCACTGTCATTGAATGACATGGGATTTCGCCCTTACTCGTTACGGTGAGGGGGCGCCACATTTTGGTTTGGTAAACACGGATCGTTGGATAAAATCCTGATCCAGGGCGTTGGGCAGCCGCCCGCGCAGCAAGAATCTATCTGAACGAAGGACTTTCTGTCCTGTTTTAGCCCAGCTTACTCTGCCAAAGAAGGCCTTGTTACCGTTTACGCGCCTGTTTCACTCCCTGAAACTTCACGACCTACCTCGAATGCTTGAGCGTACTAAAGCAGGTAAGGGAGACGTCGAAGGGGGACCAGGGATTGAATTTTTCGAAGCGGAGACTGTGTTTTTTCGGTGTCATGAGAAAGACGTATTGGTACCTGTGCCCACGCTTTCCGGTGTTTGCGGCAAGTTTGGGGGGGTACGAGGGGTGCTACCTCCTTCGTGGCAGACCACGAAGGGGGGTGGTGCTGTGCCTCTGAGGTGTGAACCAAGGTGATGAAGAACGTCTTTCTCCTCGTCCTAATTTTCTTTCAATTTTGACACAATCCTGCATGCGCGGAAAAACTTGCGAGTTGAGTCTTTATATATATATATATATGATATACTGTATGTATTTGTTTTGTTTGTAGAGAGATGGGTTCTGAGTTTGGTTGAAACAGTCTGCACCTCAAGCCCGCAAAGATTGAGAGAGAGAGAGAGAGACGGAGAGAGAGAGAGAGAGAGAGAGAGAAAGAGGGAGAGACACGGAGAGAGGGAGAGGAGAGCAGCAAGGATTCGAGAACCTGCCAATGCTGGACTTACCTGCAAGGTATCTAGATGTGAATTCCATGCAACAAACTGCCGCTAGCGGGCTCAGACAAACACGAGATGCACACATTCCATTTCCCTGATTCTGTGCAGTTGCCCAGAAAAGTTCATATTCAATTGACGGTCAAGACTCAAGCAGAAGGCCAGCCACCATCATGTTCACAAGGGTTTTGCCGCAGAAATCATGCGCTGGTGGACAGTTTGGAAGCGTTCCTGGAGATGCAATGGGACATACTCAGGCATGGCTTTGCTGTGCTGGATGCATCCAATGCATGTATGATCTGGTAGACAGGTCTGGGACATCGATGAGGAACCTTTGTTGAGACACTTTTGCCTGAAGGAGGAGTGTGCTGAGGTCGAAGTACTCACCTTTGTTTATGCTTGCCCTCAATGTAGTTCTTGGATGTTTTGGGAGGTGATCAAATGGTTTAAAGATGCAAGCTACGAAAGACCTGAGGACTGAGGGGTGCCACTTCTTGAACTGTCCAACCCTTTCACCACGGGAACAGTCGACTTCAGACTTCAGCATTCTCTTCTGGAGCCACATTTCAGTCACTGTGATCCAGGATTTTCGTGAGCGCTTGAATCTGGCAAAGAGTTAGCCTCCAAGCAGTTTATTGGCCCGTGGCCTTCCTCGTGCTTTTCTTCTCATGCGTGACTGCTGCAAGGCTTGCGTGAGCTGAGCAACAATCGCATCAAGGAATCAGCTGTTCAAGAGGGTATGCCTCACTCCTCAGATTCCATTTTGTTGATTTGCTTGGGTGCATGAGACATTGAGTGACATTCAAAGAATAGTGTGGAGCCTAAGGATGCTTGCCCTTGGGAGCCTACACTGTCTCGATTTCAACAAGGACAACAGATCTTGCAAGTTAAGTGCATGCTGGGGATGGAGGCAGCCGGCAGATGTGTATGGCAGGGCCAATCAACTTTGCAAACTGAAGAGCAGAAGAATGAGGCGCAAGAAACTGCGACAACCGCAATTCGTTTGACAACTTCCTAAACATCAACGTTCCTTGCAGGTTGTTGAAGCAACAGTTCCCTTGCTGAGCAACCTGAGGCTTGGAACTCACGAGAAATAGACTCATGAAAGACGCATTAACCTTCTTCACCCTGCGACCTTTGAATGAATTTGCTTTGCTGCTGTGCCGCGTGAGTTTAGTCTTCCTGAAGCGCAACGATGCACACAACTGTGTGCGGGCTGCAAATCTGGGTTTGACTCTTGCAGACAGGCGGGGTTTAAAGCATTTTGTTTAGGCAAGGTTTCTAATCGCCTATTTTTCCACCCGACGCTTGTGTCCCCAAGCCTTCAGAATATGTGGGAGATGCTTCTTGATGCAGTTTGCTAGGCTCAAAGAAAAGCCTGCCTCGCTACAAGCAAAGCTGCTTTATCGCCGAGGTTGCTGTGCACAACAACGCTCCTTCCTTGCATGCTTCAACTGCCAAGTCAGTAGAGTCAAATGGGTGGTTGTTGGAACTTGCTTTAGAACTATAGTTTCTATTGTTTCAACAATAAAATTGCAAGCCTGTCAAGAAGTCTTTGATGCAAGTCTTTCAGTGCTCCACCAAGTAATGCTTTGAAGGCCTAGGAAGAAGCCAGCGGCCCAGATGTTGTTTCACTGCATGCAAAAGTACCGTCCACTGCGATTTATAGTCCCTGGTTTCTGTGAAGGCCAGGCCAAAGATTTCTCGGACGCACTGAAAGATTTTGTGGAATCCGCCAGGCGAGTGAGGACGAGTTTTCGACAGATATCAAATTCAGAACTGCAAGCTCAAAAGTGTTTCATGGGAGCAGGGTAGACAGCTTGCAGAGCCTTTGTAAGAGCTGTGTTATTTTGTTTGCGACCTTTACCAGGTTGCTGCCTGAAGACCGTGAGATTCGACGAACCTTAGATGAATGCAAGGCCACTGTTGTTGGTGCTGAATGTTCGTACCGTGGTGTTGGTATGGGTCAAAACCAAAGGCTGGTTGTCAGTGCCCTTCAAGGCAAGAGCGAAAGAGCAAAATGATCGATCTGATGACACGCAGCAGACCTAGCTTTGGCAACCTTTTTGTCAAGTTATCAACTTGCGTCTCTGGAGTCTTAGGTGGCGCGGAGCAATGAGTGACAGCCCCAAAGTCAAGGTGCAATGGCAACGATTTCTCGTAGTGTGACCTCAGAATTCATGTGCAATGTTTCCTCGTCGGTCGGGCTGCTGGCTGCTTCCGGTCAGGTGCCACTGACTGATCGGTTCCTGATTACCCTGCGGCGGTGGCTTCGGGCAACGAAGCGGCGAGCACGGCAGGTCACGTCTCTAACAGCTGTGAGATGTTGCTCTTCTCATTTACAAGTGGCAGGCGGTTGCCAAGAATGCCGAGACTTTCTTAGTGCGGGTCTTGGTGTGCAATCTACAGATCTTTCAGAATTCCCTGTTGGTGAAGTCCACGTGGGTGTTGGTCATCCTGACTTTCACACATCATATTTGATAATATTTGTACTTTTCTCTCTATTGAGCACAGCAATAGGTTTCCGACCTCTAGTCAGACTTCTTACGTGAAGGGTCACTGATGGGATTTCCTTTTCCTGGCCGAGACCATCGGCATCATCTCGCTCGCACCATTGCCAGGAGCATAAATGGTTTTTGTGAAGTGCTTGCTGCGCTTTGGACGATCAATGTCTTTTCGCCGAGGTGTGCTTGTGTCTTTGGATTATTACTGAAGCTTTTGCAGCGCCCGTAAGTTTGGGTGCTGAAATGGTGCCTGAACTCTGGCCAAGATGCTTGAGCGATGTTTCAGCTGTCGATGGAAAGACATTAGAACTGCCCAAGACACATGCAGAACCCTCAAGAACCCCAGAATTGCATTGCGCATCTAATTCCAATAAAATGTTCAACCGACCGAGACACAGCCAGGCTTTTGTAAGCCTTATCATTTGCCCATTGCAGTTGTGTACTGCCAGAGGCTGACAATAGCAACTCGGAGAAAGGTTTCATATATATATATATAGATAGGCGTTATCCTTGCAGAGAAACTGGTCCAGACTGGTACCAACCTTAATAAAGGATATTGTAATCATCATCCAAACTGCTTCCGACAGTTTGCATGTTACGTACAGTTCTGTACACATGCAATCACACACATCATATATTTGGGCTCTAACATATAAACCATTTGTAGGAACAGTTTCCTTTCATGTTTGCTGCCTATCTATTTTGCAGATACTTCAATTTATCTGATCCTTTTCTCCTCATCTATTTGCATTCAGTTTGATTTCTCTTGTTTGGAAACTCTTTAGCTGTTGAGCTTCAAGAGGCATTGTTCTCAGCAGTTTCGATAGGCTAGCTCCACATTCAGCAGAACGCAACCAAGGGCAGCACAGAACGCATTTGCAACCATTGGAATTTTGGAGCCCCATCGAAACCGCCTGTCAGACCCCTGTCACCTTTTTGCACACCAAATGCTGCTCATACTCCTCAATCATCATGCATACACACACACAGACAATCACGTATGAGTTATACCTTCTGCAGCAGCTGATTGACTTGGCAGAGGTGGGCTGCTTCGTCGTTTCAAGCGACTCAAGTGCTGCCTGCACTGTGGATGGATAGACGTGCACAGGCGCCCACAGTGCCATCTTGGACATGGGGCGGGGGAAGCATAAGGAGCCGAAGGACCGCTTCAAAATGCCTTTGTCTTTGCGAAAGGTCTTTGTGATCCGCCCGAGTGCAGGAGAAGAAGGAGGATTTAGTTGGAGGACCAGAGAGCTGGCCTCAGCCATTTTGGCGCTTGATTGCGACTTAACTTCGTGTTTTGGAACAATCGAGGTTGGCCGATTCGGACATCGAAGAAGCGGATATTGAAGCTTTAGCGAGGTGAGTGTTGAGTGTTGACTCATTGACAGTGCCTGCAGACGAGCGATTGGTGGGTCGTCGGAGAACAGGCATCACTGATAGGAACCACATCAATAATCCATAATTGTTCAGTGTCCCAAGCCAGTAGCTACTAAAAACAAGCTACAGTACTAGCTTCTTACCTCTTCTTAGCCGACCTCTCATGACCTGCCCAGCGCGAAAGGTGTGGCCCTCTTGCTTCAGGTCAAAGCTCAATTCTGGAGAATATATCCTGGGCGAAGAGCCGAAGCTAGATCAGGCTCTTTCTGAAAAAGATTTCGCAAGCACGTATGCCTTGTCAGGTTTCAGGACATGTCCTGTGTTGGAAACACAGAGCACTATGAGCATTCTTCATGCTCAGGATAAGGACTACGAAGTTCAGGACCGTCTCAGTGGAGTGTGAAAGCTATGATGTTAAGCCGAGCATCATGCCAGGCGACCTCAACGAGAGGAATTTGCATTGCACCTTTGCTGTTACAAAGACAGAGCGAGCTCGAATACAAGGTGCGAGATGCTGCGAGATGCTGTGTTTCTTACTGCTCCCTGCACCGAAGCAAGCGAAGCCTGAAGGTCCCTGAAGGGGCGAAGCGCGTGCCGTGGGTTGTCCGAGGCTCAGAAGTGGTTGGACCATTCATGACATCGTCGGGCCCCATGTTTTGGAACGAACAAGGACACCATGGCGATAGATGGACAGACTGAACTGCCAAAGGGTGTCCAAACCTCAAGTGGCAGTCGGCACAGAAGTTGTACACGTGGGCAGGATTGAGGCTGGCGTGTGCCCCTTTTCGGTTGCCAGGTCACTGCCAAAGATGGAGTGAAGCTCGAGAGCATCTTTCTAGGCTGCCCTGAACCCACACAGCTTGCTGTGAAATTTCTCGCTGATTGCAGGCATGGCTTCAGACGCCGCAGCGGAAGCTTACAGAAGGCCGACACAGCGACACAGCTTCAGTGATTCAGCCACACAGTCGTTGATTTCCAGGAACGTTTCGGCTGAGCTTCGTTTTGGCTCAGGCTACGGGTGATGCGCATCCCCTGCACAAGGCCAAATGACTTCTATGCAGAAATGATGAGGCTCTAGCCTTACCCGGCGGGTCCGACATGGCCAGTGTTCTTGGACAAGTCGGTGAACAAAATATTCCCAAAGTGCAAAAAGCCTTGGAATCCAACCATGAAAGCCAGGGAACACAACTCTCAGAGAAGGCATCTCCCCGAAAAGACGCCAGAAGCTTCATAAGCTGAGCGACAACATTTTCAAACTCCCAGGACTGACAAGCAGATGTATAGAGTCCGCCAGCAAGCAGCGGAGGAGGAGCGTCGAATCAAGGCACACAGCTCAGGTGGTTGTTTTTCAGTCGTAAGGGAGGTCAACAGTTGCTGCAAGACTGAGCCATAGATATGTTGTTGTGACGCCTCTGTGCAGATCGTTGAAGATAGAAAGAAAGCTCAAGCAGGCAAGAAGTTCGCGAAGAAGGCCTGCTTACTCAAGATCTATTTTCTACCGGGTTAGTTCTTCTTATCCAAATGCCTGAAACGAGGCCAAAACAAAGAAGCTGGAAGAGCGAGCAAAGGCGCGAAATGCAGCTTGGTTTGCTCCCGGACTTTGCAAACGACACTTGGAATGTCAGGATAAGCGAAACTCGCTAGAGCAAATTGCCGAGTGGCGAAATCGGAAGAAGACTGAAGGTAAGAATACGGATGATCAGGACTGAAGCTGACCAGAAACACCAAACATCGCAGCACGAAACCTTCACCGTGTGCCAGGATCTTGAAGCAATTCTTTCGCGGCAACACAAAAAGAAAGATCAAGATGGGCTCCTTGGATGAAGTGCCGACTTCTCGGGGGATGAGAATGGCACAAAACTGGGTTGCTAAGGAAAGGAAAGGGGAAGGGCAAGGCCCTCAAGATTCATTCGTGAACGGATGGGGCCTGCCCGCTGATAGCGCGAACTCTCATGCCAGGCGATGAAGTCGGCAAAGCGGCGAAACCTTGATGAGAAATACGGTTTTGGTGGAAAAAAGCAAGCACCTCAGAAATTGTTTAGAACTTCACGACTTTGCCAACATCTAACGTTTCAAGGAAGCGGAGCAAGCAGAATGACAAGGCATCGGCAGACGATATGTCTGCATCGCCGTGGGCTTGAAGCTCAGTGCCATTAGGTGGTTGCTTGTCCGAGCTTGTCGAATCATGGAAGTCAATCCAAGGCCAAAAAGGGCAAAGGAAGAGGTAAAGGAAAAGGCAAAGGCAAAGGAAAAGGCAAAGGCCGCCTGTGGCTTGCATTCACATCTGAACACCTTCGTTCTCTTGAGCTCTGTTTGAATCTGTGACGCAGGCGGCAAGAGGACGGCCGTAGTTGATTCACCGTGACCTAAGAAGCAAACAGACTTTGCAAAGATGCAGGAAGAGATAAGCTCTAAGACTTGGCAGTGAGCCGACGACATGAGAAAGGGAGCTCACTGAGTCGTCACTTAAAGCGACGACTCTGAGCCGTCTGAGCTTTCAAGCTGCAACGGCTCCCTAGCTTTCAAGCCAAGCAATGCTTGGAAAATTGCTGCCCTCTGAAGTTTTTGTTCTTTTCTGGAAATGTGAGAGCATTTGTAAGACCTAAGCTCGAAGAAGACCAGCATGCGGGACATCTACTGCAATACCCTTTCCGCAGCATTGAGGATCGGCATTGCAATTGACGAACATATTGTGCCCACAAGGAATTTTCAACCAACAAGAGCTGTTACGACTAGCGTGCGTTGGTGTACATCACCCTGGCTCATGACTCCAGTACATCTCAGCACAAAACTCGGCAACTCAGTCAAGAGTGTTTCAAGGCATCGCGTCTTCGTCCCACAGCACGGCCCATCGCAGTCGGTGCGGTGGCAGTTCTGAAGCAGCGTTTTCAAGGCGGAGCCATTGGGACCTGCAAGGCAAAGGGGGATGGCCGTACTTGTACTTTGAGCGTGCTCTTTAGGGCTAGGCTGTCCATCAAAAGTGGAAGCAGTTCTTTTCTGCAGACGAAGGAGCCTTTAATTCTGTGAATGCGTGCGCGGGGCTCCTGGTTCTTTGTATTTTCGTCAATCTACTAATGCCCGTGGAGTTCTCATTCTTAGCCACCTAAGGTTTGAAGGTTCCGAGGAGTTCTTCCCATAGTAAAGGTGCTGTCAGCAGGTTCAAGCCGAGCTTATGGTCATGTTGGGTCCAGAATTCAACTGTCACATAAATACGCTTCTCGACCCATGCGCGTTCATATCAGCTTGTCTTATTTACTCATCCATGCTTTGCACAGCAAGCTTGATCCCCTTTCACTCTGGGTCCTCATGTCGCAGCATCTCACATTGCAGCTTGTTTATTGCATTCTCAGCATGCCCTCAAACACTTGAGTCTTCAATATACACATGGGAATGATGCATGTGTACACCCTCCATTTTTGTCTTGAGTGTCACATCGACAGCCAGATGGTCGTGGCGATGGGCGTGGGCCGACTGGGCGTGCCAAGGCGATCTCTACATCCCCGGATCCTCAATGCTGACGCTGACAATGGGTGACAAGAGTGATGCCTTCTTCAAACAAAATAGCAACGGAGAACGACCGCCCAGACTGGCCTCCAGCTGATGGACGGCAAGTGTCCCAATGCTTCCTTCATATTGCCTTGACAAGACCTGCTTGGTGGACGTTGGAGTGTTAGAAAGTACACAGTCGGGTGAGAATGGTACTGATATCATTGCGCTTGCTGAGCGGGACAAGGTCTTCAATTTCACAGTGTTGTGCAAAAGCGTGGACATTGGAAAGACAGCTGCCGCACTAAAGGCAGGCCAAAGAGGACCAGCTCAAATTCCTTTTGACATGGTGCTGAACCGGTGATAGGTGATGGCACAGTTGTTGCAGGTCCTGATGCGTCCAGCATTTCAAAGCCGTCCGCACGGAGAGTGTGCTTTTATTTGTCTCGGTCTGTCTGTCTCAGTCTTTCTGTCTCGGTCTGTCAGTCTGCTGTCTCGGTCGGGCAGGACACCCGGACGAACATACTCAGGATGTGAATAACGCAGTCCTTCTCCGGTTGCATAACCGGCATCGTGAACGTTTACCTGCGAAGCCATACGGACAATCATACACACGGAGTCAATTTTTATCAACGTGCAAAACATCAAAAACTCCAAAAGCACACCATTTCCCAAGCACAAATGCACCCACCCCAAGCTAAAGCTTAAGCTGTTTATCTAGCAGCTGATCTTCCAGTCTGCGCGCGCCAACACAACGCCTCGGCACCTTCGGTGCGGGCAGACTTTCAAGTCCAAGGACTGAGATCGAACATACTAGGGGGTACAGTAGTCGCAGCTGGATTCGTAGGTTCATGGCATGCAAGAACAATACTGTAAGTTGTGTGAGCTTCTCACGGCATCCGTTGCTGGGTCGTTGACATGGAAGCAATTTGTCACCCGCTTCGAAATTGTCCGTAGGCTACATTTGGAAAGGTCAATTGTGGGGTCACCTGAAGATTTTTGAAGTTGTTGTCAAGCAGCATGATGCTGACGTCATGGTATTCATAACTCTTCAGCCAAGCACTTGCTGGCACGCTCTCATGTTTGCATTACAGTCGAGACCAGCTTGAGTCGAGATGGCCTTCAGAATTGCTTTCCCATCTTCGTGCACATGTGCCAGAGGGTATTGAGAAGCTTTGTCACATTCATCGAATGGCTTCAACTTTTGATGTTGCACAATTCACTGGATGGGTGATGGGCAGTTGTTGCAGCGTTCTGCGTCAAGGGCTGTCTGAAAGTGCACAAGGAAGGTTTCCCTGCAACGAACAGGTAAAGTTGTCCGCATCAACCAGCACATGCATTCGCGAGGACGTGGCTTTGCCAGTACTTGCACTACTAGCTTAGATTCAGTTTGAAATCTACAGTGAAGCTCTTTGAAGGACCCTACTTTTTGATGAAGGGAGCGTGTTGGACCTGCAAACATATATGGAGTGTCTTGAAAGAGGCTGCTGATACGTTGGATTGAAACTTCTGGAGAAGTCATATCGTAAAACCGTGCGTGATGGATTCCTGGCCGAGGGCCAAAACGGAACTTCAAGATAGGATATGCGGCCTTAAACCGCGCAGAGGTCTTCCTTGTTGCTCTTGATTTGTGGCAAATTGCTATTTCCATGTGCTGGTGAGTGCAAAGACAACATTCATTTAGATCGCTCTTAGACTTTTAAGCAGTAAGATTAGTGGTTTTGATTCTATTGTCCGGTTTGAGCCTTGTTTGTCTAGTTGGCTGGTTTGTCTCATTTCCCAAAAATTCACAGCACCATGTCTCACTGCACCCTTTGCCTCTCGCAACCCATTCAACCTTGTCACTCTTCCGAACATCAATCACGTCTCAGCCTGTGTGGGTGAGGGCATTTTTCAGAACTGTAATTTTCGCAGCAATTCATCTCAGAGTCTCACCACTGTGAGGCTTGCATCACTTCCTGTTGGATTCGTTTTTGATGAACATTTTCATTTGCTGCGCCTTGCATGGGGTTTCTCGTCTTTGTGGTCATCTCTCGTTTTCGTGTCGCCCCTTACCTCACTTCACATCCGTCTACTGTATCTCTTCTCATCGCATCTCAACATACCCTTCTTGTCCTTGTAGTTTCAAATGCTACCATTTATTCAACCTCAGTGCGTTTGTGCTACTGCTACTTTATTCTATTCTGTGCAATATTCAGTAGAGGCACAAACTTGAACGGCCAGGCCAGGTGTTCACTGTTTTGGATGGCGGAGATTGATGATGCTCTTACCTTGGTGCGTTGTAAACCATTTAGACCCAAGCAAGTTCCAACTCGTGACAGAACATGTCCCCATAAGGCTGCAACGCTGATTCTGGGTGCCGAAATGGATGAGGAAGGCAGAGTTTGCATTGAAAGAACATTGGTTATTTTTTAGAGGTTTCAATGCCTTAACAGGCCATGATACCATGCTCTTTGCTTGCCCAAGGCTCAGGATCTGCAGCGCCTGCAGATACAGCAGCCGCAGAGGTGGGTAGTCGAGTGTAGATTGCTTTTCAACTACTTGCTGATTAACCTCAAGGCAGATGGCTTACTTGACCTGCTAGAGGAAGGAACGTGAGTTGCTGAGGAAACCACATAACAAGACATTTGCTGGAAGTGATCGCATTCAATTGCTGGCTCTCCATCCAAAGGTCTGCGGAGACAATCCCAGGTGCAATATCTGGTGATCCTGAGGCGCGGGTCACAGTTGCGGCTCTTTAGAGTACCAGACAAATGGTCCTACAATCCTACCTATATTTCATAGATCAGCTCCAGCGCATGTTGGCTTGAGGAGCTCAGAGATCCAGCTGTCGAAGCTCCAAGTGAAAAGGAAGCCGAGCCGGCAGAGCCAGCGCCGGCACCACTGGCGGCGCCACTGGCGGCGCCACTGGCGGCGCCACTGGCGGCAGTGGCGGCGCCAGTGGCGGCATCAGTTCCTGCGGACTTGGATGCAGGTGGACTGAAGATTGCGAAGACTCCAACGGACCCTCCTTCCCCAAAGTGGTCAGGTGCTTCAACTGGTGTCAAGCGAGCGGCCACGTTGACGCTTGACATGGGAGAAGATCTTTTCCCTGCAGCAGCAGGCAATGAACTTGTGGTTTGTCTTGAATAACGATTTTGTTTTGCCTTGTCTTTGCAGACGAAGAGCCTCTTGATGAACATGCGGCCGTCGTGTCCTGAGTAATAAAACATAATGCAGCATGCAGCATATAAATACTGATGTTTCATTGAGCTATTGTTTGCCCCAGGTGTTGTCATCCACCAATCCTGCCACTGCGAAGGACATCAGGCACTTACTGAGGCTTCATAAGCTTTGCAATCAGAACCTTTCTCAACCACATGCTGCAGGTTGACAGCTGAATCCACCAGTGTAGGCGATTGATTTCATGGATGATTTGAGTCAAAAGAGCCCAGTTTGGCAAACGCTATCGTGCTTGATTAAACCATACTCATGTGTGCAAAACGCCACTATGAGTGTGAGAAAACAGCAACCAGCAGGTAGGGAATCCTCGAACTCGATTGTGTTGGATGATCCGTTCTAGCCTCGGCTACAGTTGCGCGCGCCCATGGAACGTGGTCTTTGTGAATGGAAGATGTTCATGGTTCACTTGTAAAGAATCTTACCCCTACCATAGATGGACGCAAAATGAGTTCCTTGTGGCATACTTCTGCATTTTCAGATTGCAAACTTGGGCGCTGAGAGTGAGAAAAGCACAAGTCAGGGAAGGAAAATGAGAAGCACCTAAGATGGCATTGGTGGGGAACGGTGTGCAAGATCTTGCTGCAAGGTGAGAAGGTACGAGAGGTGTGATTCAAGAAACTTATGAACACCATGGAAAAGGTTATATACCTGATTCTCCTGTCTATCTACTATCAAACCTACACGAGCAGCGCCTGGGTGGGTGTGGGAAGTTGCCAATAGATTGGTCATCCCAAACTGTTATTCAGCTATTCATGTTGAATGCATGGCCAGATGGCCATGTACGTGTCTTCTCTTCAAATAGTGGGACTGTGGAGTTGCCTGACTTCACCCTTCAAATTACTTGACAGCGCAGGTGTCTACTCCTTTTGGTGTTTGAACAAGCTTGAGCATTGACTTTTTGTGACTTATCTATCTGAGGCAACTATTCATCTGCGCTTTGATTATGTTCTCATCAGCCATGTTTGTGGGTGAGTTGAACTCAGGAGCTAGTCCCAACATGCATTCAATTCCGCCACTAGGCACGTCTTTTAGCCATGTACGAGCTGCGCAGCTAATGCCTTAAACCTGAAGACCAAGACACATATTTAGACAGTCTATTCAGCTGTTGATATTGTTCGATACTGAAGTGTACCGGCTTCGTATTCTGTGTCAGACTTGTTTCTTTTTCTTTTGATTGGTCGATTGTTTTGTGGCTCCGTGTCTCAAGGTGGCGTGAAAGCGCCATTCAAGCGCTGTTTTTTTGGTTCGTCCTTCTGATTCTTACCCATGATAAATGATGCGTGTTCACAGCGCACAGCTCTGCAATGCTCGTCTCGCGCACACACTGCTCTGCCGCCCCATGTACATTCTGCACCAATCTGCGTTTTGAATTTTATGGCAGACACATCTATGCGCATCCATGCACATGTAATCACAAATACGAGCAGACTCCAATGATTTCTGAGGCGCATATCCGGAGAGCAATTCCGGATATATCGGAAAGTTTCCCCAGATTCCTCGTCTCCGACCTTCCAGCTGGAGGTGAAGCGTTGCCTTTTTCTTGGAGTTCACGGAGAGGAGAGCACAATTGCAGGACTGCTCAAGAAACGGTACCCTGGTCAACAAGAAGCTCCTGCACAAGGCTTTGATCTCAGAGTTTGCCAAGGACATATGATCCGTTTTGACTTTTTCCGCCTCAGTTTTTCAGGATGGCAATCAGAGTGTCTGCCTTCGTGATCAGGCCGCCAGCTAGCTGAAACATGCTGAAAACTGATGGACTCTATAAGATGGATGCCCAAATTCTCTGCATCTTTGCCATACTAATGCGCCCTGTGATGAGACACAAAAAAGTGTCGATAGACAGGACTTGGTGGAGGTGCTGCCAGCTTCGAAAGCACCTCGGAATATTTTGAGAGTTGTGCTGTTCGATACGTGCCGGTACGCGTATGGGGTCTTCGGGCTGATCTCATTGTTTTTGGCAGGTTGGGCAGGCAGCCGCCATTGCCTTTCTTTTTCATGCGCCACTGTCTGCAGCTGGCAACCTGGAGAGAGACGAGAACAGACACGCTCAAGAACTCATCGCAGGAACAAGCACCAGAATCCACGAACCCATTGTCTTTTCATGTCAAGAACCATCGCTGCCGAAATAGTTCCCAGATTCGGAGCGTCCAGCGTTAAGGCACCTCCACCAACCAAGAAGCCTCGCTTGATGGAAGGCGGGAGCTTGGTGTAGGCCTTTAGTGCTACAATCCAGTCCAGAAACCGTTGTAAGAGAAGCACAGGTCCTACTGTGTCCGACTTTGATGTCTGTTCTCTCAGACTCCCAATTAGACATCGAAACAACACACTCCACAAAGGACCTCCCACAGTCTCTCCAAGGCCGATCAAATCCTCGGGGAGGCCACCTGTGCGATTTGCCAAGAGGCAGGGCCTATCACTAGGAGCAAGGACGCTAGTAGTGGCTCCTGGCCATACTACTAGGAACAAGAAGCTACTAGGGGCTCCTGGCCTTACTACTAGGAGCATGGACGCTTCTAGGAGCAAAGGGCATCGCTACTAGGTGCAAGGACGCTGCTTGTCCTCCCGAGCCAACCTTGGGGTCGTTGTGGTCGGTTGGGTTGGGGGTGCCAGGTCATGCACCGGGCCACGAGTGTGAGACTCTTGGAGAAGCAAAGAATTAACCAAAGAAGACAAAGGCCATCAAAGGTCACCAAGTTGTACTGAATGCCCGATGCCCTGAGGTCCAACCGTGCATGCATAGCAAAGCTGGCATGCTTGGTGAACGGCTTGATGGGAGTTTCAACACACTATGACAATGACACGTGTATTGTAAGCTCAATTTCAAAGTGGAGATCCTGCAAAAGCTACACGGAATGTGTCCATTCCAAGTTCCACTTATGTTTACGATCAATTGACTGGGCTCTCCATCTAGCAACTGCTGCTCTCATCTCAAACTGCAGGATCTTTAAATACTTTGCATACTTACACAAGCGCATGACTTGTCCACGTATGAATTTTACTGGCCTCTTTCAAGAGAGTATAATTTGTCGGCATGAATCATGAATGTCGGGAATCAAGCTGCATAGCAACAAAAGCAGCAACTTGCTTTTTCTCAGTCTTACTTGCATGCTTTGTATGCTGGCAAAGACAGAACAAGGTTCAGTGTTTGAAGACTTTGAAGCTGGCACAAACTCGCACGAACCTTTTCAACGCGACAGGTTTTTGCAGCTCCTGTCTTGGTGGATGGCTGAAAAGGCCTGGAGACAAGCTGCCAAGGTGGGATGTCAGGGTGGAACAGCGTGCCCACTTGTTGTCCAGTGATATCTAAGCCATTTAATTAGTATGCTGTAGCAAGTATCAAGCTAAGCACAGAAGCACTAGCCTTCAAACCTCTCTACAGTCCAGAGTCTCCCTCAAGTCCCTCCAGGTGTCCCGTTTGCCGACAAGCTGTGGCAGCGGTTGGAAAGAACCATGTCCTCGATAGCTTGATCGAGAAAATCCTCAAGGCTCATATCGCTCTCGCGACCAATATAGGGTGCATGGATGCTTTATCATGTTTTGTAGCAGTTGGAAAAGGAATAGTCAGCTTTTTCTCCTTGCCTCAGCAGTGGCTGGGTAATAATTTCGTCACAAAAGAGAAGGTTGAATGGAGCATCTACTTGGGTCATATTTGCACCACACCATTTCTAATAGATATTTCTTTACAACGTGTTTTGACTAGTGTTCACTCCTGTCTTACCCCTGTGAGTTCCTCGGTTCCAAGTTTGGAGATCCAAGGGTTTCAGCAAAAGTTCGTCATTTGGCTCACGAGATGTAATTAATTATTGTTTTTTCTTTCAACATGCTCAGGCACATCCGGATAAGATGCGCTCTGTCGCTGCATTGGCGGATCTTGATAGCAGGGATCCTTTATATGTGTGACACCTAAAAGAGCTTTAAACATACTGTCTACTGTCCGTGGCATTTCATCGTTGCAGCCTTTGCTACGATCTAGGACAATGGCTACGATTTGGTCAAGCTCCGGGGGGGGTGGGGGCGTAGCAGCAGGCAAACCTGGCAGAAACATGGACACTGTATGCATGAAGACTTACAAGGGAATAATGTGAAATTCTCTGGCAGGCTTTGCCCGATTGACAGTGGCAGCAGCTGCAGCTGCGGAAGCGATGGATGCCGAAAGTGAGTAGTGACCCGAGCTGATTCAAATTTGACTAGGAACCAAATCATCAGTGCGTGAGCTATCCTGCGTCCTACCTAGAAGCTTAAATCCTTACTTACTTAAGGCTTTACAAAAGCCCAAGAGAACAAACGAACTTGAATAGAAAAAGGACTCGGACTGGGCTGCTTCTTCTATTGAGCAGCGCTTTCTCGCTCAGGCACAGCCAGTCTGAGTTTTCTTCCAGCGAGGAAGAGGTTTTCGGTCCTGAGTTGTCCTTCACTTTGTCAATTGAATTCAACAAAGCAGGCAGAGGTGGAAGAGTGTGAGTCTCAGTTTTGACAGCAGCTTTGACCATGCCATGAAGAGTGCTAAACACCAAGACATGTTGATTGAAGGCATGCATGGGCAGAGCCTGGCGCATCGTTCTTAGAGCTTGAAAGATGTTAGTGATGGTGCACAGCAGTCCAGACGATGCTGTTTTCCGCGACCTCACTAGGGGATCAGACCCCAACTGTGAACTGGACCATGGCCTCCAACCGAGAAGCGATAGACTCCAACCTACCAGCGATGATGGCCTCCAACCTACTAGCTACTCGTACCTCTCTTCTACTGGCGACCTCAGCCTACCCCCCTGGTCTCAAAAAGAAACAGACATGTTTTCCCGGCTTCCATGGCTTTGCCCGCTAATTTGACCCTTCACGCAGGCTGTGAGGCCCGCGTGTCGCCTTTGTGGAGTTCCTGCTTGGAGACCCTTGCGTTCGGGTGACCCAGTTGACACATGTTGACGAACCGACAGGTGAGCCACAGCCGTTGGGTGGAGTGGCCCAGTGTTTCACTCAAGGCTCAGCTTCAGAAACCATTGCAAATCCCTTGTCAGCGACTTTTCTGACGAAAACGGCACTTGCACCGTCCTTGGATTCCTCAAGTGCAAAGCGACTGTCAGAGAGAGAAAGAGAGAGTGTGAGAGTTAGAAAGAGTGAGAATCTTCTTCGCGAATCACCGAGGCAAACAATACCTTCGAACAAGAGATTCTGCAGGCATACTGCCCACAAATATAGTGTCACCATTTTTGCATCGTTCTTGCAAAGGATCTGGAATGCGAATCACTAAGCACCGGTGGAGTTCAGAATATAACATGTATGAATCAATGTGTCAGCGAAGAGCTTGAATTTGACGTGTATCTGACTCTTTCTGAACTATTCAACTATTCCTTAGCCAGAAGGTTTGACAAAGAAGCCCTATGCCCTACGCGTCCGGCCGGCACCCAACCCCTCTAACCGTCAATTGTCAGTTCGTGGCAGGAGTGGCTTCATACAAAGGGTCTGAGTCTACAGCAGGCACCTTGCCACCTACTTTCCAGAGGTATACAATACAAAGTTTTCCTGTGCCTCTTTGCCTTACCATTTCAAGGCAATCATTGACTTGCTGGCAAACCCTAATCCTGCAATGGGCTCAGACCTGTCCAAAATCAGGATTGATGTGGCTGCTTGTAGTGAAACTGCCGCCTTTGGTCAAAACATGGCGGCTGAGCTTGTGCTTGCCCAAGGAAGGAGTTCCTGCAGTCCGTTGGCATGCTCCCTTTGGAGGACCAACCCTTTGAGAGAACAACTCAGATCTGAATAAGTCCAGAGCCGCGAGATAGATTGCGATAGTGAAGTGCTCACAACCCAAACCAGGTGAGTTGGGGGCTTCATTACCCGCGTATTCGTTAGGACAATGGATAATTACTGACTTGAAATTAGTCTTGTGTCCATCATTATTGTACTGAAGACTGAAGACCGTCACCATTTGTTAACAATTGGACTGAGTGCAGGAGGTCCAGATTTCCTCCATTCTCCTGAGGCGACAGAGAAAAAAACGTTGCGTTTTGCTGTGATTGGCATTGTTTTGCTGGTGCGCTCCAGGCATGGACAGATATTCCATCATGCAAACCCTGCAGTCAGAACGTTTTGCGGGGAGTTGTCCGTGTCTCAGCATCTTGAGATTGCTTTTGTTCCTCAGCCAAGATGGGTTCAGGTGTACTCCATTCGTGAACGCATAGCAGCTGAGGAGTGCTAGTTTGTGCCTTCCAAGCTTCGGCTTCACAGAAGTGTCTACCCTTGCGGCCAATCCCACGTCCAAAGTGCCAGGAGTTGCCAGAGCGGGCACGAGGCAACAGATACTCTACTTTCTTTGCAAATGGCAACCACATATCATTTGAAGCAGGTCGAGGCAACTGTTGGTACGGAAGATGCTGCCGTACGCAAAGCCACAAGCTGCCCCTGCGAGACTTGACATATGGTCCTCTATGGTAGAAGCATGATCTACCTTTGACATCCTTTAACTTGGCGGCCGGCAGGCATTGCAGTTGTCATTCCTTTGTTAGTCATGTCAGGCGCCACCACGCAGAGCGCTGGGGTTCATAGACTTCCGCATCATAGAATTCATAGACTGAGAGCACGAACATGTTGCCTTGGTGTTGAGGATTGAACCATATTTGTGAGCAGACCCGCCGCTAAAGTGGCTGTGGCAAACTGATGCTTTAATTTTGGACCGCACTCCCTTGCTGTTTGGATAGATGCAGCGATGTACAGCAGACGTCTTTCACTACTTGCGCATGAACTGGGAGACAACTTCCGCAGACTCTCACTGGGATTTTGGGTCGGCCTTTGTGGGTTTGGTTAGAGTATCACCAGAAGTTATGGACTCCGCAGCTTCTTTCCCTCAATTTCACGTGAGACATGACAGACAGAACACATTAATGCATTAATGGTGACTGCCAACTTGCTTGCAACTACTTTGCTTGACCAGCAGAGAGATGGTAGAGCTGCAAGCTGGAAAACAAAGAAGCAACAGTAGAGGGTGAAGGGTGAAACACAGGCCCCGTAGATATAGCGAGATGACCTCGAGTGCTGAAGGTGAGCAATTTCTTTTCTGCTCCTTTTCATTTCATTCTTTGGTCTTTCTTTTATCTCTGCTAGGCAAGATCTCTATGGAGCACTTTGAGCAGGCTGGAACCCAAGTCATGGGTTCACAAGGCCGAATTCCTGTGGCAGCCAAGGTTCTGGCTGATATGTCTGATGGCATTGGAGCCAAAGATGAGGCATGGAAGTGTTTTAGGCCACAGCGTGCGCATGTTGGTTGCAACTTTGGTAGGAGCGGCCTCTTCTGGAAGGTTTTTTGCGGAAGCAGGTGTCGGCCTTTGAGAGCCACTAGCATCCTTCGCTGCACAGCTTTGTTGCTTTTGCAAACCACACGGCCTGCGTTTAGTGCTTTCACTCCGCCTTGCCAGTGCTGTCGCATGCTGGACGAGCAGCTTGCCTGGACGCAACAGAAGGTGTCAGAGAGGCCTTGGCAGCTTTAGGACTGGAGCAATATGGGGTCAATACCCAAAAAGCAAAGCAATGTGTTTGGGAGGTCAACCCAGGTTTCGACCCACATCCATATGAGACAGCAGAATTGATTGAACTGCAATGAAAGATCAGTTTCCTTGCAGCTGTTTGGCTTTAGGTCTAGGGATGTCCAGGCATTCTAGCACGCCATGCGGCAGCTAAAACATCATGAGCAAAAGCTCTTGAAGAAGGCTGCTTGACCTTTTTGATATGGCAGCCTCACCTTTCTCAACAATTCTGATGTAGAGGTCAACTTCTATGACTGGAAGTCAACGAGAAATGTCGGGAACACAGGGAGGGCGCTGTTAGTTCTTACAAGTAGATTATGGAAGGGTGTGGTTCTGTGATGTTCTGTGAGGTCAGGGAGTCGTCGATCTTGAGAAAATACCAGATTGAGGATCGTGAGGACTACACTAAGATTCTGGTCTGCATTGTGATTTAGGACATCAAAGCCTAGTAGTAATGCCAGGAGCTACTAGTAGCTTCTTGCTCCTACTAAACACTATGGAAGCCCTGAATCTCCTTGGCTCCAAAGGTATCAGAAGCTTGCGCTTCTGATCCAAAAACTGACCTCAGGGCTTCGAAAGCTCAAGGCGCTACTTGTGCTGAAGTTGCAAACGTTGGGCTTTACGAGCTGTTGATATTGTTTGCCACTGCGCAGTCCTCGGATGAAGACAGAATAAAGATGACCGAGATCCTGCTTGACAAGATGTACTCTCTTGGATTGATCCAAAACACACAAAGCTTGGAGGAGAAGTTTTGCTAGACCTCTCAACAGGGGGGTATGTAACACTCATTTTTGCAAGCGTATATATAAAGCTTTGTTCAGTACGCTTGACTTTGTTGTCTTCTTGAGGACTCGCATGAGTTGCCTGCATCAACCTTTTGCAGACGGCGGCTTCCTGTAGTCCTTGTAAGGATGAAGTGTCCTCGTCAGCAGATGTGCAAAAGATGGTGTGGGCAAGCTTCAAATTTGTTCGTCAGAGTCACAGGATCAGTCCTGGGATTGAAACCAAGCAGCCTGAAACTGTAGCAAGCAACAGCGTTGATCTTTTGCGGCAGCGAACCTCAGGCTTTGCCAAGACTTGCCGCAAGCCATCAAGTACATCAAGCAGGCAAGGAATCTATCAATTTGGGTGGAGTCTCTAGTTGCACCGAAGTGTGCTTGTGTCGATTCTTTTTGAGTATGGACTATAAGCACATACAGTCTTGTCTACAATGTGAGTTTGTGTGCCAGAGAAGAGAATCTGAACGATGTCCTGCAGGGCGAGATTCGGATTGGTCCTGATGTGGTCACAAATCCAGCCTTGCATGTCACCCGCGAGATGGAGGACTGGAGATCCGTCACTTGACAAGTTGCCAATCAAGACTGGAGCCATGACTCGGTGAAGCTTTCGTTTCAGCAGATTTTTCGTTCAGGATCACATCACCTGGGCGGAGGGATCCAAGATGAGACGGCAAATCAAGGAGTTCTCCAACGAGGACCCCGATGTCATGCTGTA